GGATGTAGTTTTCTTCCTTATCTCTTTTCATAAGATCTATTTTTGCTTTTGCTTTGTCTGAGATCAGGATTGCTACCCCTGCTTTTTTTTTTTTACTTCAGCTGAAGCATAATATATTTTGCTCCAGCCTTTTACCTTTAACCTGTATGTATCACTCTTTTTCAAATGCGTTTCCTGTAAATAACATATTGTAGGATTATGGTTTTTATTCCAATCTTCTATATGCTTCTGTTTTATGGGAGAGTTCATCCCATTCACATTTACAGTTATGATTATTATCTGTGTCTTTTTCTCCATCCTTTTTTACCACCTGTTTATGGCCTTTCTTTCTCCTTTCTCCTTTCTCCCCCTTACTAGTGTTTTCTTTTGACCACAGCCTCCTTCAGTCCCACCTCCCTTCTATTATCCCTTTCCCTTTTCTTCCCCTTTACCCTTACTGCTTCTTCCCTCCCTTCTATCCCCCTCCCTTTTCTTTCCCCTTTCCCCTCCTACTACCTGTAGTACAACTTAGATTTCTATACCTAACTGATTATGTTATTCCCTTCTTCAGCCAAATCTGATGAGAGTAAGGTTCAAAAAATGCTCCCTTCTTTACCTCTGCTCTAATAGCTTTTTGTGTCTTTTTTTCTGTAATGTAATTTACCCTTGTCTCCCTCCTCCTTTCTCAGTACATTTTCTTAGCTCAGACTAATCCATTTGCCTGGATCCATTTATTCCACTTGATTAATTTTTTTTTATCTTTACATCAAAGTCAACTATATCCACCCCCTTTATGTATACTCCTTTAACATGGTATAATAACAATACAGTTCTCAAGAGTTGCAAGTGTCATCTTGCCTTGTAGGGATGTAAACATTTTGCCCCTCTTAACAACATATTGTATCTTTCTGTCCCATTTACCTTTTTATGTCTCTCTTGAATCTTGTACTTGAAGATCACATTTTTTGTTAAGCTCTGGTCTTTTTATCAGGAATGTTTGGAAGTCCCCTATTTTGTTGAATATCCATCTCCATTCCTGAAAAATCATGCTCATTTTCATTAATTGCCTGAATTCCAAGCTCCTTTGCCTTATGGAATATCATGCTCCATGCCCTATGGTCTTTTAATGTAGAGGCTGCAAGGTCCTGTGTAATCCTGACTGTGGTTCAATGATATTTAAATTATTTCTTTCTGGCTGCTTGCAATATTTTCTCTTTGATCTGGTAATTTTGGAATTTGGCTATTATATTCCTTGGTGTTTTCAATTTGGGATCTCTTTCCCTACATTGGTCAAGGGACTCCAGAGAGGAACGTAATTTAGAGTTGAACAAATTCAACAAAGGTTCATTACAGGGGAAAAAAATAAGATTGTCAATGGTGAGGAAGTGATTCTTTCTATAGTTATTTTACCTTCAGGTTCTAGGCCTTCAGGGCAGTTTTCCTTTATGATTTCCTGAAGGATATTGTCAAGGCTCTTTTTTCATCATGACTTTCAGGTAGGCCTATAATTTTTAAATTGTCTTTCCTGGATCGATTTTCCAGGTCAGCTGTTTTTCCCATGAGGTATTTTACGTTTTCATCTATTTTTTTCATTTTTTGTTTCTTTTTGAATGATTCTTGCTCTCTCATAGAGCTATTAGTTTCCATTTGTTCAATTCTAATTTTTTAACATACTGTTTTTTTCTGTTAGATTTTGCACTTTCTTCTCCAATTGGTCAATTGTATTTTTAATGGATTTTTTTCCTCATTGTACTTTTTTTTTCTAATTGGCCAATTGTGTCTTTTTGGGACTTGTTTTCTTCATTGTACTTTTTTTCCACTTGGTCAATTGTACTGTTAAAAGACTCCTCTACCTCTCTCATTTGACTTTTAAAATCCTTCTTGAGTTCTTCTAAGAAGGCTTTTTGGGCTTCAGACCAGTTCATATTCCCTTTTGATGTTGTAGATGTGGGTTGATGACAGTGTTGTCCTCTTTAGAATTTCTGTCTTGATCTTCACTCTTTTCATAATATGAATCTATCACATGTTTCTTTTTACTCATGGTGTTTCTTTATTCCCTGGCATTTAAAGAGATTAAGCTCTCCTGCTGGGGAGCAGAGGGCAGTGACCCAAGCTTCTTGTGTTGGGAGCTTAGGTCTTGGTCACTGGTTTTGTGTGCTAGGGCCTCTTATGTTGGCAATTGGAGGCTTTAGGATTCTGACAACTTATCTGGTGTTGGGCTGGAATCAGCAAGGCTGGGACTTTCAGGTAAATCTAGGTTGCCTGCTTTTCCTTTCCTTTAGCTTTGTTTAGCTCCTTTTAGATAAGTGCTGCCAGGTGTTTATCTGCCTGCGGCCCCTTGAAGTGCTTATTTCTCCCTTATTTCTGTTGAGGTACTGAGAGACTTCTTTGCTGTAGAATGCTGGGGGACCTGGTGGTTTTCTTAGCTGGTTTCCACTGGCTCCCCTACCCTCACTGAGGCACACAGATGTCCATCTGTTGGTGTTTGCCTGCTCGACCACCTGGGCTTTGGGATCTCCTCCTGGATGGCAGTTGGAGGCTGTAGGGTTCTGACAGCTGACCTGGTGTTGGACTGGAATTAACAAGGCTGGAACTTTTTGGCACCTCTAAGTGGCTTTCTTCAGCTCCTTTTAGACAAATGCTGTCGGGTTCTTATCCACCTGGGGCCCTTTGTAGTGCTGCTTCCCTTATTTTTGCTGAGGCACTGGGAGACCTGTTTGCTGTAGAATGCCGAGGCACCAGAATCTCCTCCTGGTATGCTAAAATGGGTCTTTCCACTAGCTGGCTGGGTGACTCCTGTTTCCCCCAGGGTAGGAGGGGCCTTTCCCATTAATCCCTTTGGCTACCTGGGCTACTGCAGTACTGCACCCCATCTTTCTTATGGTTCAGCTGTTACAGGGTTTTTTCTGGGGTGATTTTTTCTGGGTTTTCAGAGGTTGATAGGGGAGGGTGAGAGTGACTACCTTTTTACTCTACCATCTTGGCTCCTGGAAGTGGAAGTTCTGTCTTGCAATTTCAAACTTTGTTCTTTATTCACACCCCAGGAAACACTCCCTTGGTACCATCATCATCTCCTAAGGAATCACTTCCTCACCATTGACAATCTCATTTTTTCCCCTGTAATGAACCCTTGGTGAATTCTTTCAACTCTAAATTACATTCCTCTCTGGAGTCCTTTGACCAATTATCATATCTAAGATTTTGCCCTGCCTAGCCTTCATTTGGAGTAACTCCCATCATCCATTGCTTTTGGTCTGATTTGATAAATATTTATTAAATGTCAACTATATCCAAGGCACTGTGCTAAGTACGAAGTGTACAAATAAGAAAAACAAAGATAGTTCCTGACCTCAAGGAACTTACAATCTAATAAGTGAAAACAATACACACAAAGGTACCTGGAGAGGAAACAATGATGACTGTGGTGTCAGTGACATAATGGTGGTGATGATGATGATGATGATGATGATGATGATGATGATGACACAACCAAGCAGAGTAGATGGAAGCAAATGTGGAGGAAGCTGAAATTTTCAGCCCTTTCCAAAGGGAGTCTATAGGAAAATGTTGGTTTTTTACCTTTCACTGAAGCCCTTCCATCAGAGGGGCAGAAGGAAATGAGTGTACCAAAGAGTTGTTAATATCAAAACTGAAACAATCTCCATGATGATGAGGTATCTGGTAATGAGCTTAGGCTGGGGAAGGGAGAGGGGCATGATGATTATACAGGTGGAGACAAGATAAAGAACAGGTGGTATGTGTTTTTGCTCTTATACGTGTGCTGCTATTGGAGGTTGGGAAAAAATCACAAACTGAGCTTACTGGGTGCACTACAAATGTAGGTAATATAATCTTACCTGGATGACCATCCTCTTATGGTGATTAATTGGCAATTTGGTTAATTGGGGTACAACACCTGTTTTAACTCTGTATCTCTCTTTTTTATTGTGTTTTTTTTGTGAGCAACATATTGTCAAACTCAGATTTTTTAATCCATACTGCTATCCATTTCCATTTTATGGGAAAATTTATCCCATTCACATTCAAAGTAATCACTAGTTATGAATTTCCCTCTTCCTATGTTACCTTATTATCTTTCTCCTCTATTTGCCCTATCCCTCCTCATGGATCTAATTTACATCTAACCACTTCCTGGCCCTCCTATTACTTAATCTACCCACCTGTCTAAGAATCCCTGCCTTATCCTCTCCCACCAACCTCCACTTTAATCTACCCCCCCAAAAGTCCCTCCCTTATCCTATTCCCTTATGCTATCCTTTTCATTTCTTTATAGATTTAGACTTTTATAGCCCTCTGGTTGCATATGTTGTTCTCACTGTAACCCATTTCTGATGAGAGTAAGCTCTAGCAATACCAGTAGTCCATCCCCACTTGCTTCTTCTGTATCAGTTCTTCCTTTCACACATCATTCTTATGACATAATTGCTCATTTTGACCTCACTCTACCAAGTTCTCCTTTTTAGAATCACCCTATCATACTTAGCTCAGCTTCAGACTTTCTTTCAAAATACCCGAGTAATGATGACAATCTTAAGTGCACTGATAACATTTTCACATATAAGAAGTAAACTCACTGGACTTTTCAGTAAAACATTGGGATAGATAATACAGTGATGACGACAATCCCAGCCCAAGTCACTTAATAATAGCTTGCACAGATGCACATGAAAAGGAAATGGCAGAGCCATATAGGCTCATAAATTTGGTGGTAAAGGAATTTTGTAAAAGCTCTGGTGAAAAGATGAACTAACATTTCAACTTCAAAAGTATCCTCAAATGACAGTTTAAGTGTAAAACATCCAGTTCCTTGAAAGTACTGAAAAATAGAGATAATAGAGTAAGATACAGGAAGCCAATGAGGGAAGATGTTTTCCAAATTCAGCATGGGAAGACAGAAGTTACTGCCTATGATCCATAAATAATAAGGTATATGTCAGTCTAAGAAAGGATGTAGTGTAAAGTTCATACCATGGAAGAAAAATATTTGAATACTTTTCTCCTTAATTAAAAAAGATGCCTAATGAAGATATTGCTTTACTCACAAATTTCCTAAATGCACTAATGACTTCCTTATTCCTCAGACTATAGACCAAAGGATTCAACATAGGAATGACTATGGTGTAGAACACTGAAGCCATTTTGTCTGTGTCCATGTTATGCCTGGAGCTGGGGTGTAAATACATGAAGATTACTGTCCCATAGAATATGGACACAGCTGTGAGATGGGTAGCACAAGTAGAGAAGGCTTTCTGGCGGCCCTCAGCTGAGCGCATCCTTAAAATGGCAATGAAAATTAAAAAGTAGGATTTCAAAATGAAAAAAATTGTAAAAGATGAATGGAAAACTACAGCAAAGAAGACAACCAATTCGTTGATATATGTGACAGAGGAGGAGAGAACCAAGAGGGGTGGAATGTCACAGAAAAAGTGATGGATCACATTGGAATTGCAAAAGTGGAGGCGGAAGGTGTTTCCTGTGTGAGTGGAAGAATTCAGAAAACCACAAACGTAGCAACCAATGGCCAGACTAGCACAAACCCTAGATGTCATTGTTGTGTTGTAATGTAGGGGCTTACACACGGCAACCTGGCGATCATAGGCCATAGCAGCCAGCAGATAACTTTCAACTGTGGCAAAGTACACAAAGAAGTACATTTGTGTAGCACATCCACCATAGGAGATGGTTTTGCCTCCTGAGAAGAATCCAGCCATCACTTTAGGAGTAATGGCTGAAGAGTAGCCCAAATCTGCCAGAGAGAGGTTACTGAGGAAAAAGTACATGGGTGTGTGCAAATGGGAGTCCCATGATATCAGGAATAGCAGACCCAAGTTCCCCATCAGAGTGATGAGGTAGATGATAGTGAATATTATGAAGAGAGGGACTTGAAGTTCAGGGGAATCTGTTAATCCCACAAGGATGAACTCCTCCACCTTTGAACAATTCTCCATAAATGTCTTTTAGGAATTTGGATGATTCACCTGTAATGACAGAAATACAACAAGTAGAATAAATCATGGTGTTTATCATTCTTTTTTAAGTGTTAGAGAATTGTATTTTGTATATTAAACTAAAAAACACTTATATAAACATTGTGGGGTTTGGATGTGTGATAAATTAGCATCATACTAATATCGCAATTATGGTTTTTCAGCATACATCATAATAAGTCCCCTTATACTCATTAAGATAATTACTGAATAGATTCTCAACTTCCATAGCTCCCATAACTTCCACCTTTACTTGGCATCAGTCTCATATGTTGTGACCACACTATTGAATTAGTTATCCCTCCAATTCCATGACCCAGAACTCTGAAATTCCTCTTTTGAACATACCCTACTGCCTTTCCATTACATACTGTGCCTCATCCTTCCATTCCCTAGATTTACTCATTACCAGTAACACCGGTTCCTACATCCATACCATGGTTCCAATTTGATTCCCATACTTTGGCCTTACTCCTTCGCCTTCATAGGATTGAACTGTTCATTGACTGCTATAATGATAGTCCTTCAGCCACGGTAGAATTCCTTGGTTCATTGCCTTTCACCAAACTATACTCTGTAGAATTGGGATCCTTATGTACCTTTTATGGTTCCACAAACATGAGGCAGAACAAGGTCCATAAATACCCTGAGTGGATTCTCTATAGAAACATGTCATTCTCTTGTCATTTGAAATCTTCGTGGTCTAAAGGAACTCAGTGATTTTCCCCCCTTATTAACTCTCTAACAAATATTTCCCTTGCATCAGCAGAGAGAGATGTCATCACTCTTGGTTTCTCTCCTTTCCCTACTCAAGCCTCCAAACCCCTCTTCATTTTTCCCTTTTCCTTTCTGCTTTGTCCCATATCTTAGAGAAAGAGGTAGATCTTCTCACACAAAAAGGTTAATCTCTCCATGTGTGTTCTTCTGCTCACCCCCTCTTACATCATCCAAAAATACTATTAGATAGGATTTAGAGAGCTCTCTTAGTTTAAGAAAGTGATTTATGAATATTACCTCATTTGATCCTCACAGTTAAAGTGGAATTTGGGTGGTGTATGCATTTTATAAGGGAAAAAACAGAAGCAGAAAAAGATAAGAGATTTGCCAAGGGTCACTTAGCAAATATCCAGGGCCCAATTTGAACTCAAGTCTCTCTGACTCCAGGTCCCATTCTATATCTACCTGAAAGCCTGTAAGAATTTGCCCCCTCCATCACTCCTCTATTTTATTTAATTTCTCTTTTACAATTTCTCATTCTTTATTATCTACTATAATGCCTAGATGCTGCCATCTTGAAAAAACTCAGCATTTTAAAACCATCAAAAAATTATCATTTTAAAAATGCATCTTCCACACAATTACAATTTGATATATTTAGAGCATAATTATACTTTGTCTCTCTGTTGCTTACTGGTGTTCAGTGGATTACTGCTATTTTTAATATAAAGTATGAATGCCTCTATTTCACATTTAATCCTTTCACCAACTCTCTCCCTCCTATCTTGCTACATTGATTTGACATTACTCCCTCTTTTATATGTCCCACATGCCAGGTAAATGGATCTACATGCATTTTCCCATCTTTGATCTCCCAAATCTGATCTATGTGCCTTTTAAAAATTATTTTTTAATTTATGGTATTAAAGAAGCATTTTTATAACATAGTATAATAAAAAGATGATTGCATGTGAAAAAATAAATCTATTATATACAACTTACTATTCCTTCTAAATATACAAGTTATGATGTAAATTTATTTCTTTTTCCCTTTTTGCCTTACCTTCCCCTATACACCCTACAAATGGGTACCATTAGACACAGATAGGTATGTATGTGTGTGTAGATATGCATATGTATATACGTATACATATATGTGTATATATATATGAATGATTATTCTATACATAGTCTATTTATCAGTTCTTTCCTGGATGCAGATAATGTCTTTCTTCATATATCCTTTACAACTAATTTGGGTATTTATAGTAGTCAAAGTGACTTATTTGCTCAAAGTCATTCTTAAAACAATATTGCTGTTATTGTATACAACATGTTCTCAATTTTACTCATTTCACTCCATTGTTTTTTGCAAGTTTTTCCACGTTTTTCTAAGATCATTGAGGTGAGACTTTTCTTATAGCATAGTAGTATTCCAGCAAAATCATATACCACAACTTTTTCAGTCATTACTCAATTGATGGCCATCCCTGCAATTTCCAGTTCTTTGCCACCAGAAAGAGAGGTGCTACAAACATTTTAGAACATATAGGCATTTTTTTTCCTTTTTCTCTAGCCATTTTTAGAAATAGTCCTAGTAGCGGTATTGCTGGTTCAAAGGGTTTAAGCAGTTTAATAACTCTTTGGGCATAAATCTGGACTGCTATCCAAAATGGTTGGATCAGTTCACAATTCTACCAACAGCGAATTAGTGTCCCAATTTTTCCACATCCATTCCAACATTAGTCACTTTCACCTTCAATAATTTTAGCCCATTTAGTCGGTGAAAAATGATATCTCAAGGCTGTTTTAATTTGCATCTCTTTAATCAATAGTGATCAAGAGAATTTTTTAATATGGCTATGAATTGTTTTGATTTCTTCATTGGAAAACTGCATTTTCATATCCTTTAAACATTTATCAATTGGGCAAAGGCGGCTATTCTCATAGATTTGACACAATTCTTTGTATATTTGAGATATAAGACCTTTCTCTGAGAAACTATTTATACAATTTTTTCTCAGTTTTCTTTCTTCCTGATCTTTGCTACATTTGTTTTGTCTGTGTAAAAACTTCTCAATTTAATGTAATCAGAATTATCCATTTTACATTTAACTTTACTCTTTATCTTTGGTTTATTCATAAGTTGTCTATTCATAATTATGTAAATAATATGTTATATGTTCTTCAAATTTTCTTGTGATATCTATCTTCATATCTAGGTCATCTCTGGGCCTTTATACAACCTGTCCTCCATGCCTCTGAAGTTTTATTTCTTCAACACTTCCTCTTAAAAGCCCCAGCTCCCTGAAATGAGTAACTCACTTGCCAACTTCAATACAACTCAAAACCTGTCCAACCAGGGCTTCAGTCATGTCACCTGTAGGCTGATGGAGCAAGGCCACAGGACCTTTTTTTAAATAAAAAATGTACAGTGGGATCTAGGTAATTACAACTCTTTAAATCATGAAAAAATCTGAGAGGGAGGTTTATACTATTAAAATTAAAATATTATACATTGGAATAGCTGGAAGAATTTTCTTTTTGTTTTTTTGTTTTTTGTTTTTATTTTTTTGCTATAAAGTTCACAGTTCCTTATGAAGTGCTTTGAAATACTTGGGTGAACAACTGATGAGTATATGAAAGAATAACAATTGGTGACATGTCAAGACTCTTCGATTTAGGGTGAGAAGACCTGGTTCTGAATTCCAATTCTGATCTTTATTACATGTGCCACCTCAGGTTGCTCTCCTTCTATCTCAGAGTGTCAGCTTCCTCAGGTAGAAAACTGGATGATCCATAAGGTCTTTACCCACTCAATCTTAAGATTTAGGAGGCAGAGAAGTAGCAAAGAGTATACAGTAAACTATATGGAATGTGGAAGAACAGAGTTCAAGCTCTCTCTAAGACACTTCTCACCTGTAGGACCCTGGACAAGTCACTTAACATCTCTCAGTCTCAGTTTCCTCACCTCTAAAATGAAGGTAATAACAGCACTTGCCTCACAGGGCTGTGGTGAGGATCAAATGAGATTTTAAAAGTGCAGTGCTTTGTGAACCTTCAAGTTCCCAATAAATCCTAGTTATCATTAGCATCTATTTGAATACAGTAACATCAAACATTATGAAAATGGTAGGTACAAATATATTATTTTGAACACTCTACCTTCTCATCACTTGAAGACAAGGATACTATTTTTCATTTATGCAGCACTCATATTGGAGAATTCAGTAGAACCTGTCCCTAGTATTCTAATAGCTGAGACCTACCTGGGTCCTTTGGAATGGTGACAAGACTCCAAGAGAGAGAACTTATTGAGTACCTTCACCTAAGGTTGTCTTCTCTTAGATACTTAATCCAAAGAAAAGAGAAAAGGATTCAGAGAAACTGTGCCTGGCATCTGAGGTTAAAAGCTCAGAGTTTTCCACGTTGTGGTCTGTTGTCCTCAGCCACTGTAGCTACTTAGGTCTTGCTGACAGGAAGATCACTACATGAACCAAAGTAAGGTTTCTGATATTATTAATAAATGAAGGTTGACAATAACCAAAGTCAGGCTTGTCCAATGGACTTTGGTCCACATTGAGACATAAAAAGCTTTCTGTGGACACAAACTTGCAATAGAGTTTTACAAGAATGGGCATGATGCTGCTCTTAAGGGACAATGGCTCCTCTGAGGACTACCAGAGCTACTTAGTATGCACCTCTTTCAAAGCAAATAATAGCTAAACCAGTCTGTGGGGACCCAATCACAATTACTAAGATAAGTTATGGGTGTATTCAGATGTTGTTGTCAGGACTTCCCCATGGTACATGGAGAACATGGTTGCTCTCAGAAGATAAGAGATCAAGGCTATGAGCTCACTAGTCCTAGACATGAAGGAGACATGACATTAAGAAGACGAAAATAGGCCAGGGATGAGACTGGCCCCCCAGGGCCCAGGAGCAACACCTTCTAATAGTACAGCTTCCATTCATTTGCTGCTTTGAAGAAAAATATCTGATGGGGGAGGGATGAGGTATGCAAGACTTGAGGGATTACTAGGTAATGACAATGATGCAGGAAAAAAGAAAAGAAATAAAAGAGAACCAGTGAATCATTTTAAAAAAAAAAAACACAGAAAATAAGAGAAAGAAATTCAAAAGATGACATCAACAAATGGTACACTTTTACTATTGGCTAACATAATAATCCTTTAAAAATGATACATAATGAAGATTAACAGCTTTGTGGGTGATTTTTTTTT